ATATCCACCCGGTGACCATGTTGGTACTTTTAGGCACGGATAAATTAAGGATTTATGAAATAATGATCAAATGTGTACGTAACTTTACCACTAAGCATTCGTCCTTTGAGGCTGCACTATTGAGCAGGGCATCTAATCTCTTTCAATTAGAATATAAATAGCTCAGGACCAGGAACTAAAAAAGATGAATCGATAACACACTCAGCTATTAGCCAAATGCAGGGCTATTGCCGTTCTGAAAAATTAAAGACAAGGCCACTCTTGGCTGAGCGCTGCTTTTAGAGGCCTCCATTTCTACTGTCTCTGAGAGCTAGCCTAGGGGTCCACAGGGTGAGGAAGGACAGCTGAGCCACTTGGGACTGTGTGTGCCGCAGATCAGAAGTCCCTCTAGACAAGGGATTCAGCCGTGGGTGGAGCAGGCCCACGGCAAAGAACAGTTTCCGGTGTCCTTGGCTTTTCACAGACTGTGTGTACCGAGCCATCCTCCGGTTTCCCATCCTTCTTCAAGGAGCTCTGTCTTTTCCTGGCTCTGGTTTAGAATGGTCACACATTGACGCCTAGTCTCATTTTCAGAAAAAGAGAAATCTGCGTGCCAAGATTTAAACTGTATGATTTAGCTTGTATTTAAACTCTAGGGCCCGAGTATTTAAAATGCTCGAAGTTGGGAGTAGGGGTATGCTTTGAAATAATTTTTACCATATCGAGCAACAATTTTGACTTTTATGACATAGCGTCTCCAAATAAGAGTTTTTTGGAGCTGGAATGAGGCTCTCCACTCTAACAGGTTGGGTGGACGTCTCAGACACTGTTGTACTTTTTCCTCAGTGTTCGCTGTGATGGAGGCCTACCGCTTTTGGTGAGTCTCACTAACGCGGGGGTTGGGGGGCAGCGAAGCGCTCCGTTGGCCTCTTTGTTTCCTCCTCCATGCCTATTCTACTATGCAAAAGCTTTATGTCAATTTACTTTTTGAGCCGTTTAAGACCAAACCAAATCATTCCTTCAGCACATTTTAAACAATCCCTTAAAGACCTCCTTTTCTTGGCTCTGTTTCCAATCTAGGCTTATCACAATAATATTTCATGCTCTGTGCTTCTGAAAAAATTCAATATTCAAGAACAAAGTAATCCAGAGCTCTGCTTCATTTCAGGCTTTTTATGGCCTAGGGCTATCCCAACTCAGTGACCCAGATTTCATTGTCACCTCTCACTGTTGCTATGTATGACCAGCTTACCTGATCCGATTCTCATCCCCTCCCAGTGTTCCCTTAATTCATTTTTTTTAAAAAATTCTTTGCATTTCTCTTTTCTCCAGCTTTTAGATTCCTTTTATTTCCTCCCAAGGAGACCCGGTATTCCTCAGCAACACAAAGATAAGCAGACAACTAAACTCCTTCAGTCTGTTGTCAAAAATGTTCATTTGCTCCTTTTTAAAGTTGTGGACAAATGATAGAAAGTGGACATTATAATTTGACAACAGTAATGGTTTATACCTAAGGCAGATACTATATTTTCTCTTATGTATAGATCTAGAGTTAACAATTTACATCGGAGAGAAACACTGCAATAGTCTGATCTAATAAAAACATATGTATTTGAGAGGGAGATGGAAACTGAGGGGGCCTATTCGGCAGGGAACGAGGACCAGTGGGGATGGCAGTGTAACCAAGGGGACAAGTATGAGCAAAGGTCAAAAATATACGTGTATGAAGGGGTCAAAATGAGACTCATTATGAGACAACTAAACAAATTGATTAAAAGAAGATATTTTAAAATGTACAAAATTTCGTATGAAATAATATTACTTTTGAGAATCTGCCTTATTAATTACAAAGAACCACCTAAGGAAAGTTAAAATCTGTGTAGATAAGATATCCGCTATAATGATACTTAAGCAAAAGAAAAAAGTAATATAAATGTCCAACAGTAGAAAAGAAATGCGATAAATTACAGTCCATTTACTTGCGCAATAATGTATAAACACTGAAGGTGATCTTTACCTGATTATTTAGCAATAAGGTTTCTACTTACATTTTCAAAAGAACAGGGAGCAAGATTGTAAGTGCTTCTGATTATGTATTTCTGACATATTAAATGATTTCTTTGTTTTTGAGACAGTGCCTCCCAGGCTGACTTAAAACTTTCTGTCCTGTTATATCTGTCTCCCGAATGCTGTGGTTACAGGTGTAACAACTTAGCTCACTTTGTTTCTTTGTTTGCATGCTTGAAACAGGGTTTCACTGTGTGATCCTGGCTGTCCTGAAACTTACTCTGTAGGCCAGGCTGTCCATGGACTCACAGAGATCAACCTGTCTCTGGTGCCACCACTGCCCAGAACTATGTATTTTGAGACAGGGTCTCACCCTGTAGCTCTGGCTAGCTGAAACTCACTGAGAACCATCTTCATCTGCCTCCTAAGTGCTGGGATTAAAGGTGTGCACCACGCTTTAAAAACCATATTGTTTTTGCAGGTGGGAAGGCTCTGCCCATATAGCTCAGGCTGTACTCAATGTCCTAGTGTGTAAGCCCTCTGAGCACTAGGATTACAGACACATGCCACCATGCCTGCTGTACAGCTACTAATATGCTTCCTTTTAATTGAATACATTTAAGTTGAATTTATTCTCTCTCTCTCTCTCTCTCTCTCTCTCTCTCTCTCTCTCTCTGAGTGTGTGTGTGTTTACACATGTATCAATTTTGCTTGTGTCAAAGTCAGAGGACATCTCGGAGAGGTTAGTTCTCTCCTTCCGCCATGGAGCTCCCGAGGATCAGAGTCTTCAGGATGTTCAGCTCTTATTATCATCTTTTATAACTGCATTCTAGTTTATATGTGTGTATTGGAGGACAGGATGTGGGTCCTAGGGTTCAAAGTCAGGTTATCAGCCTTGCTAGTGATTGCCTTTATCCACTGAGTCATCGCTCCTGCCCACAACGATGCTTTAAAATAGCATTTAAAAAAAAAATCTCAAGGAAACAAGACATTTGGCGATGTTTGCTATTTTTAGGGTGATAGATAAGTTTTCTTTATTCTCAAAATTGTGTGAGTCTATTGAAGTTCTTAAAACTTATAATCTTAACTGATTCAAATAAAGCATCATTTAAGGAGAAGTTGGAGACTCAGCTGTGCCCTTCCTAAATTACTTCATATTGAGTAAAAAAAAAAAAAAAATTTTTTTTTTTTTTGGCTGCGCCTTGCCTTGAGAAACTCCATTTTCCTAGCATCTTTGAATCCATTGTGAGACTGGAGGCTGACTTTGCACCTGAGTGGACACATGAACGGAACCATGTGTCTGGCACCACCCATGTAGTACAGATTGGTAGTGGGAGTAGGAAGGGTGCTACTCTATAAAGATTTTTGGGATGAACTGAGGCCGGGGAAAACAGGGGTATTTACATCATATCAAGACAACTAGGCCTAAGAACTTATTGAACATACCAAACCAAGGGATGGGAATCGCCCCCTCACCTGGACCCTACACCGAGGTGAATGCCAAGCTCTACAGAGGCAATGGCCTCCTCCAAGCTGTCCTCTGACCGCCTGATGCCCGTGTCAGGATTTGATAGGCAGAGACCGTCCAAGGGCCTTCAACTCATTTCCTGCTGCTGCTGCTGTAGTTCAATCAACTGCTGTCCGCCTGTCCGTCGGGATCGGCCACACATCCGTCTTCCTGTTCCTTCATCTAGATCGAGCCCGACACCCTGCTTCTACAGCCGGACTCACACCTGCAGCTTTGCCCCCAAACCCACGACTCTCTGGCCTGATTTCCAGCTGCTGAGAGTTGTCCGGCTTCTGCCTCATAGTTCAGGTCATCATTTTACCCACGGGGACTCTCTTTACACTAATCAGCTTCTTGGGATTTCTTGAAATCTCTAAACCTCTGCTACGACTGCTTAACCCTTAAAGATGTTTAGTGACCGACAATATATATGTATATAGATATATTTACTCTGTGGCTTGCTATCAGAGAGTTTCTACTTAATCTAATTAAGATTGTAACGAAAGAAGCACTGTTTGCTTTGGTTCGCGTATGTAATGGTTTAGGTAAAACGGCGCTGATCCCCGAGGGCCAGCGGCGGGCTACGAGGAGGAGCCAGGTCCCATCACCCGAGGCCTCTGTGGGTCCCAGGCAGGTGAGAGACCTTGGCGGGTCGGCAGTGGGGCCTGGAGAGATGGCTCAGAGGTTTTGAACATGTACTGTGTACTGCTCTTTTAGGGGGGCAGGGTCTGATTCCTAGTATTCATGTAGTGGCTGCTGCATGCATGTGGGACACCTGTATACCAGGGGCCAAACACTCATAGAAAAGCTAAAGCTAACAAATAAATCTTAAAAAAATAAATTAAAGCTTTAGTCAGGGCAGGATGGTTGTGCATGGCTACATTCTCAGTCCTTGGAGGAAGTCGGAGAACTAGAGACCAGCCTAGGCTACGTATGAGTTCTAGGCCTGAGCTAGTGAGCCCCTGCTTCGAATCACTAGCGGTTGGTGGTGTTGTGGTTCACATCAGGAAGTTGCTTTATCCGAATGCAGGGTAGCATCTGCTAGCTCTACGTAGTCCTTAGCATCGCACACACGCACATATATGTGGCCATTTCTTCTGTTTCGACCAGTTCCACCAAACTCTGTCTAGAGGATTTTAGGACCAAAAGCAGGACTCACACACCTACTGAGGAGATTACTGGGCCTGCATGGTCTGGAACCACGAGTCTCGGCGGAGGGTGTCCAGGTTGAATGATTCCACAGAGCACGAGGTTGAGGTGGAACAGCTTCTTTATTGTTCTGCTGGGGCTAGCATGGCACCAAAAGAGGCGTGGGCTGCGAAGGGACTGTCACCTGACCCAAGGAGGGACTCTTACCTGACCCCAGTAGGGGTCAAGGACTGATCACATGCACTCCACCTTCACCTGACCCCAGTAGGGGTCAAGGAATGACCACGTGCGTCACTGTGCACTCAAACTTCCCTTCCCAACTCCAGGAGCAGAGGGAAGTTATTAGGCTTTCTTTGCAGATAAGCGCCTCAAATGGGGGCAGGGAAATGTAACTCGGGGCAGCAATTCCCACAGGAGATAACTACGGAAGCAGAGCGAGGACATTTAGTCAGTGCAACCGCATTAGGAAGAGGAAGAGATAGCGGGTCCAGCTCATCTTTGAAGTACTGGAACGAGTTTTGGGTTTAAGTAGAAGGCAAGAGGAACGCACAGCACAATTAAGCAGTCCTGGTCAGAGTGTGGCCCTTCCCATCAGGGTCTCAGCCCCAGACCTGCACAGTGGTCCATAAATTGTGTTTGTTGTTGTTATTGTTTCTTTTGAGATGGGGTATCTCTCACTGTGTAGCTCTGGAACCTAGCTTTTGAACTCACAGAGAACTGCGTGCCTCTGCCTCCTACGTAGGATTAAAGGTGCGTGCTGCTGTGTCTGGTAGGTTCATAAATGTTCATCTACTAACCTGTCACCCTCAGGGGAGCCAGTTCGCTTGCTACAAGCTGATTCCTTCTGCTCCAGAGGGACGCCTCACGTCGTGGATAATTGTCCTTATGGTGAGAGAGGGACGTCCATCCTGGGAGGTTTGGCTTTTGGACTCCAAGGTGACTCCACGAAGATTTACCCGTGTCTTTGTGTGGCCTCAGTTTAGGAGCCAGTGCTTTTTAGCCAAAGCATTTTCTAAAATCGTCCTGTGTGCTTGAACATTCCCCAGCTTTGAGAGAGTTGGGTGTTGGCCGATTGACTTTGTCGGTTTTCTAATTCGGTGTGGTGGGGCGTGGAGAGCATGTGTGTTGTGCATGGTGAGGCATGGAGAGCGTGTGTGCCATGTTGTGCATGGTGGGGCATGGAGAGTGTATGTGCTATGTTGTGTGATGGGGTATGGAGAGCATGTGTGCCATGCTGTGCGTGGTGAGGCATGGAGAGCGTGTGTGCTGTGCTGTGCATGGTGGGCCATGGAGAGCATGTGTGCCATGCTGTGCATGGTGGGGTGTGGAGAGCATGTGTGCCATGCTGTGTGTGGTGGGGCGTGGAGAGCCTGTGTGCCATGCTGTGCGTGGTGGGGCGTGGAGAGCCTGTGTGCCATGCTGTTCATGGTGGGGCGTGGAGGGCATGTGTGCTATGCTGTGTGATGGGGCGTGGAGAGCATGTGTGCTGTGTATGATGGGGCATGAAGACCGTGTGTGCCATGGAGTGCCTCCATTCATTTTATTGTTGGTTTTGAGACAGGGTTTCACAGGTTGTTCAGGTCAGCCTTAATCTCCTTATTCTCTGTATTCAGCCTCCATGTGCTGAGACTACAAGTGTGCGCCTCCAGGACCACGCCATCATGCCGGTGTGCCACCATACTGGCGGGACTCCATCCGAACTCTGACAAGGTTCCCCTCTGCCTCTGAAGACCCATGAACAACGTGCTGTGGTTTGGTTTTGGCGCTCTTTATTCCTGGGATGAAATCTGTCCCAGCTGGGCTGTCGACAGACAAGCTGCTAAATTCTGTCAGGAAATTATAAAACACGGCTGGTAAGAACGTTGAACGAAAAAGCAGCTTCAGGACGATAAGCGCTTCTGTGGAAATGGCTGTGAATGCTTCGCGGAAGGATCCGAGAGCTGGTAAGCGCTTCTGTGGAAATGACTGTGAACGCTTCGCGGAAGGATCCGAGAGCTGGTAAGCGCTTCTGTGGAAATGGCTGTGAACGCTTCGCGGAAGGATCCGAGAGCTGGGGCCGATAAAAGACTTGGAGTAACCGGGGCTAAAACCCTGAAAGAAGTTTAGCAATTGGCAAGCAGTCTAATCATTTTCCTTTCACGGGGCATTTTCGGATAATTATTACAATTGACAGCATGATGTCAGGATCATCAACCTGCCTTAACTTTCTTTTCAGATGACAATTTTTGTCTCACTTTAAAGGATGGAACAATCTGTCCATAATCATTGTTGTCCTTAGATACGAACTCCCGTTTAATTTTGTCTTTTATAAATAAATGAAAATGTCTTCTAAATGCAACAGGATATACTGTTTTATAGATGTTCCCTAGGCGGGCAGTGCCCAGTGCCTGCCAACTGTCACTGAGGCACTGTTCAGGGGTCCGGTGTCTGGGCATGTCTGATTAGCTTGGTGTAAGATGAAAATTATGTTATAATTAAGACCTTGGGAACACAAGCCCGGGAAAGGTCAGGGTCACGAACAACTCTAGTTTTGGAGAACAGCAGCTTGGTAAAGTATTTTCTTAAGTTTTACATTTTAGCAAGCTTGAACACTTGAGGAACATGAATGCTCATGATATAAAGGAGCCCACAACACTTAGTGTTCCAGCTGTACAGAAGTCCTTTATGTATTAATTCAGCTGCTTCTTTTGAAACAAAACAGAATCTTTGGCTTGGTAGGATGTTTGGTCTACAGCATTAGTTTAAAAAAAAAAAAAGAAAAGAAAAGAAAATCCGGGGACAATATTAGTGACCAGGTCCATACAGACCAGGCTGGCCTCAAACTCATAGAGATAAACCCGCCTGCCTCTGCCTCCCACCTGCTAGGATTCACCATGCCCAGCCTTGCCACTTTAAACCCAGAGAACTAAGTTCCATTTTTGCACCAGGTCATTCACTCTGGCATAGATTTACATTTGACACACTGTTTGACAGAATATTTTTAGACAAAAGAATAAAATATCTCCTTTATTCATAATTTTCCATGTTAAACTAGCTCAAAATTTTTGTTGTGGTTGTAGCTCTGGCTAGCCTGGAACTTGCTGTGTAGAGTAGGCTGACTTCAAACACAGAGAACTGGGACCCGAGTTTGGGCCCCAGAATCCACACAGAAAGCCAGGTGTGGTATTGAGAGCCCAGAGCCCTAGCCTTGAGGTGTGGTGGGGACAGCTGGACTCCTGAGCCCACTGACCAGCCAGGGGGGACAAATGGGAGAGCTGCAGGTGGAGGGAGGGGGCCCATCTCCAAATGCAGCGGTGGAGAGCGACCAAGGGAAGATGTCTGATGTTGTCCTCAGGTCTCATCATGCTTGAGCATGTGCCCCCTCCCATACATACAGCAAAACAAACAAACAAAATAAAACACATATATGATAAAGAAAAGGAAAGGGAAGCCCCTGAGAGGAAATAAAGAAGAGAAAGGTCAGAGGGCCTAAAAACTTCAAGTCCAAAAATGTCCCCCGAATGTTCACATTTGTATAGGTTTCAAATTAAACATGTCAAAAATATCAGTTTTGCCACAAAATGTTCTAGAAAGTGTAAAAATGAAGCTATTCAGTTATTTTCAGAAGTTCTATGAGCAGGCTTTGTTGGGCCCTGTGGTCTTAACCTCATGTGGCTGGAGAATTGTCTCGGCTGAAAGTAGAGTCAAAGCTAGAGAAATGTTTAGGGGTTAGATCTCTTCTTAGAGGGTCTCCAGAGGGACGGATAACTCCTCTTCTGTCTTAGGAGCCCCACTCTGAGGATATGGGGTAGCTCAGGGTGTTGGGTGAATAATCCTCATGTGGACCTCTTGGATGGGCTATTGGAGTTTCCAGATCAGGAGCAGAGTATAATCTTCTTATGTGGTATCTCAGGTGACTTCTGAATGTCCTGGGGTCAGCCATCCACGACACCTCCGTTAAGACCCTAGTCTAGTTACCTTGAGTCACCCAGGGAAGACTGGTGGGAGCTTTTCCTCCTTCATCAGGGTCCACCTCATGCAGCTGAATCTATGTCTGGAATGGAAGCTATAGCTCTCAGGTTTTCCTGCCTCTTTTAGTCAACCATCACAGACAGACTAGTAGACCAATACACAAAATGACACATCAAACCATTATGTTGATCCAGAAGGGCACACTTAGATACATCATAAGCCTATGAAAGACTAGTAATAATGCTTAGGTACATCGAGCTCATACAGATAGTTTTCCTATGCTTGCACAAATTGCAGCAGACGTCTCCTAGACACCCTTCCCTGTAGGATACCTTATATCCTAGCTACCCAGACAAAATTAAAGAATTTGAGCCTTCTTGTTGTGCCAGACTTTTTCTTTTAGACTTCCAAACAGCTTTGAAAATCAAGATACAGAAACTTATTAGTTCTGAATGCTTGGCCTAGTGTAGTTCTTTTCTGGCTAGCTCTTATAACTTAACCTGTTTCTCTTCACCTGTGTTTTGCCAAGGGACTTTTTTTCCCTTTCTTACTTTTGTACATCTTACTTTTGCTGCTTCTCATGCCCACCGGCTGGCATCTGCCTGGCTTCTGACCCCAGGTGTCTCCCTTGATTGCTCCACCTCCTCTTCTCATTCCTTCCTTTCTTCTTTTTTGAGTCTAGATTTCTCCTCCTATTTATTCTCCTTGCCTGCTACTCCCATCTATCCTTCTCTGCCTAGTTATTGGTCATTCATCTCCTTATTAGACCAATGAGATGTCTTGGACAGGCAAGGTTAAAGAGGGGAAAGAAATGCATCACATCTTTTCATAATTAAGCAAATGCAGCATAAACAAAAGTAATACACCTTTATACAGTTAAAACAATATTCTGCAGCATAAACAAATGTAACACATCTTTACATAGTTAAAATAATATTCTACAATATTTCACCCTAAGGAGGAATTTTAATTTTAAAATAGCAAGACTATATACACTAAGAACAGTTATCAAGTAAGGATTACATTTACAATATCTTGTCTTTTTCCTTTTGGCAAATTTGGAGAAATCACTTTATTTTATTTGATGAGTACAAAGCTCTGTACCTAATTTACCTTCTATCATAACTAAGGAAAACTATTAACTATAACTATCTCGTCTTCAAGTCCATCAAAGATCCCAGAAGGATATAACATTACCCTCAGGTAATGCAGGAACAGGAAATGCGTGGAAGCTACTTCCAGATCTATATAAATGACAGGCATCTGGCTGCCTAGACAGTCATCCAAAGTTCTTCTGCAATGTTGGGGCGTCCAATGTTTAGCCTTCAGGCCTAGGATATCAGGCAGACTCTTCTATGAAGCAGAAAGTTTGATGGATTGTCTCACCTAGTCTTGGCAAAGTTCAGCAGTTGCTTTTCTATGTGTCCTGTAAAATGTCTGACAGGCTTTTCTGTGCAGCAGAAATTTTGAAGGATTGTCCTACCTTGTTTTGGAAAAGTTTGACAATCTTTTTCCTTTGGGACCTGCTTGTTCAGTTTGAATAGCTTACTGTCAGCAGTCAAGGCAAGAAGGGTTTCTTTGCCCAGTAACTAACCTTGACACAATGAAAGCTAACTTCGTATGGAGTTTCTTTGATGCCCATTATCCTTTCTGATGCAGATTGGTGCTGCCAGGAGCAGACATGTCTCACTGTTGTGAAAAGCCTCAGGTTATTAAACATCTTAAATGCCATATTCTGTAGGTCTCTGAAGTGTTTGAAGATCATTTATCTATCTAAAATATAACCTTGAAAACATACCTAACACGTCTACAAGTTTGATTATTATAACTACTCACATGCATTTAATTGTACACTGCAGTTTTAAATGAGCCACATAAGCACAATTCCTTAAACAAGAGTAGAAACACACAATACAGTACAACAAAGTTAACTTATTTGTATAAATATACCAAAGCACATACCAATGTAAGACATTTGAAGTTAATAGTTGTCTTTTTATCCTATATTCCTATATCCACACTAAATAATGAAAAATATCCGTAATCCACCCAATGACCAAAAACCACCTACCCCTCCTCTTGGGAATGTGGGCATTGTGTTCTACAGACTGCTTCTTGTTGTCTGAGAATAAAGGCATCTTTAGGGAACCTGAGAAAATTGAGATAATGGTCAAGTCCTGGAAAAAACTAGCCATAGCTTTTGTTGTCCAGACTGTGCAATGGGAAAGTGTAAGACCTACCTGTAGTCCTGGATAGAATAGTCTGTGAGGGGGGCTGGGTCATCTCTGCCAGCAGCCATGAAGATGTCCTGGATGCAGAACTCTGAGGAAACAGCAACAGAGGTACTCTGAGAGGCTGAATCACCTAAACCACCTGTTCTCATTGGTGTCTGGTCCCCTTGCTCAAAAACATACAAACTCTCAAAGGTAACATACGTGTTTGCACTAATACAAGTATGGACTGTGTGTTGCACACAAGCCAGCCAAAGATAACTTTTTGTTTCATGTTTGAGCAGGTAATATACCATCACCTGTCTTACAGTTTTTCTAGGTTTATTTTTTTATGTCTGTGTCCAGGATTTTCAGGGGATCTTCTCTCATCAAAACTGATCTCTATTAACCTTGAAGGAATCCACCGTTTTTCATTTCCTGTGGAAACAAAAGCACAACCTCTTCCCCGATGCAATACATTTTTAAACTTCCATTTTGAAGTTAGGTCATCCCTAAATCTAAGCTGGTTTAACTTAGCAGTTCCTGTTACAATCTCACACCTCCCAGCAGCTGTCTTTTGCTTTCAGCATCCAAAAAATTCAAAGACAACACAACACCATACAGGATCCAGACTTCCTGTGCATTTTCATATTTGTGTGGTTTATTCCTTTTTTTTATAGTACTTTACTTTTCTTTAAA